TTATTATATATTTTTATCATTAATTTATATAAAAATAATAAAAATTAACTTTAATTTTATTAACTATTTAATATAAAAATTATTAATGCATTTATTATATATTTTTATCATTAATTTATATAAAAATAATAAAAATTAACTTTAATTTTATTAACTATTTAATATAAAAATTACTATTAAAAATAAAATTTAATTTTATGATTTTTATATAAATTAATAATAAAAAAACACAATAAATATCTTCTTATTCTCTACTTTAGAAAAACCCTTTGCCATTAATCAGTGCATAATTGCGCTGCCCCTACGTACCAACAGAAGAAAAATGGCCTCGATATACCACGTGGTACTGCCCCTCAATTTGCTGACTCACCTGCTGACCTGTCGATTTCAGACTCTTCTCTTTCTTTAACGTTTCGGAGTCCTCACCCTTGTTCTCTCTTGCTTCTCCTGTTCCCAAGCCAACCCCTGATCCTACTCCATCCTAAACTCTCTGAATTGCGTAGCTTTCTCAATTTCATTTGAATCAATATATTCAATCAACTGAACTTTGAAATCTTCATCCCTTCTTCACGGGGTTGATTCACTCATTCAATCAAACAATAATCACCGCACACCGCATCCCAGATCCATCTCCAGAAAAATCCATTTCAATCGAATAACCCAGATCATCGTTCCTGGAATTAGACAGAAAATTTTTAGCTTTTTTAATTTTGGGTTGAATTCCTGGATAATTGGGATTTTTGGGGAATTAGGGTTTTGGTTATTTTTCGTTGATATGGATTCTAGCAGGAGAGCGGTGGAATCGTATTGGAGATCGCGGACGATCGATGCGGCAACGTCTGATGAAGACAAAGTGACCCCCGTGTATAAATTAGAAGAAATCTGCGAGCTTTTGCGATCCTCGGATGTTAGTATTGTGAAGGAGGTCTCGGGGTTTATCTTGAAGCGGCTTGAGCACAAAAGCCCAATTGTCAAGCAGAAGGTATTCGATTCAGTTTGCTTCACATCGTTTATCCCCTTTTCTTTTGGGGAAATGTTAAGGTGATTGGTTGTTGAGCCTGTGTTCACATTGAATATTAATGTCTTGCTTGCCAATAACAATTTTGAGAGGACAAACTTTTATATTTATCTGGTATTGAGCCATGGCTAATCTGCATTTGAAAGCTTACCGTTAAAATACCCTGGTTTTCTTTTTGCCAGCATATTCCATTTGCAGGAGTAGAATTGTGTCAATGTGTTGTATGAAGATTTTGCCACTTTCTGGGCAGCTCCGGTGTTGCTTGTACTAATTACATAACTTTTGCTTGACGATCCCACTGGGAGGGGATTTGCCTTAATATACAATAACAACATACTGGCAGCTAGTACCATTGTTTTTGACACTCAACTCCTAATTCCAGTAACTACTTACATGTAGTGGTGATTGATTGATTTTTATAAGGATAACATGTATGGAAGATTTTACCCAGAATTCAGAATTTTTAAACATTTTGTAACCTGTGTTCTTGGATTTTGCAGGCTCTAAGGTTGATAAAATATGCAGTGGTAAAGTCTGGTGTGGAATTCAGAAGGGAGATGCAACGAAATTCAGTGGCAGTGCGTCAGTTATTGCATTACAAAGGACAGTTGGATCCTTTGAAGGGCGATGCCCCTAATAAGGCTGTGCGAGATACAGCTCAAGAGACTATTTCTGCTATATTCTCAGAGGACAATAAGCCATCACCTGCTGAAGATGTTAATAGAAGAATACAAGGATTCGGGAATACAAACTTTGAAACGCCATCAGAAGATAAAAAATCGTTTCTTAGTGAGGTGGTTGGCCTTGGAAGTGCTTCTCTCAAGCAGGGGCTTAGTAGTTTCACCCAGGGCCATTCACTTAGAAAGAGTGATAATGGAAGCTACAAGAGCCCCACCCTCCGAAGGTCTTTGACCACAGAAACTGACTACTCAGATGGATATGAACCAGTTGTGTTAAGGAATGATGGGCAGGGTAGTTTGGGGAAATCAAAAAATGCAGCTAGTGGACCTTGGGGGCAGGATTCAAGAGTAATAAACACAGAAACAAAAAATGGGGATTCTTCTTCAAGTTACTCAGAGACCAAAACTCGTGAAGAGCGATTGTTGGAGACCATTGTAACATCTGGTGGTGTTCGTCTACAACCCACTCGAGATGCCATTCAGGCTTTCCTTGTGGAGGCTGCAAAGCTGGACACTTTGGCTTTAAGTCATGCCCTTGAATCAAAGCTTCAATCTCCAATGTGGCAGGCATGCTCTTTGTGCTTATTGAATTATTGACAACCTTCTCTCCTCTCCTCTGCAATCCATGTAGACAGTATTCATTGAGTCCTCATGTTCATACTGTTATAATATTGTTTATATTGATTTTTTTCCACAGAATGGGTTCATAACATCTTAACTTGCTGTTTTATTGATTTAAATGCATTGCTTATTTGCTATTTTTTTCTTTGAAAAAAAAAAAAAATCTTGAATGGTGATCAGGTTCGAATGAAAGCTGTTTGTGTACTTGAGGCCCTTTTGAGGAGAAAGGAAGATGAGCATTTTTCAATTGTAGCATCTTATTTCACCGAAAATGAAGATGTTTTGGTTAGGTGCTCTGAGTCTCCCCAGGCTTCTTTGAGAGACAAAGCTACCAAGGTAATCTTATTAGTTTTTGTATTTCACTTTAATGTAAATAAATGGATAAAATGTGACAAAAAGCGGGCATTAGTAACTTTTTTGTTTCACTTTAATGTAAATAAAGGAATAATGTGACAACAAGCTCGTGGCCAGGGTGCTTTATTGACATACATGATTTGGTATTCGTGAGCAGGTTTTGACCTTGTTGAATGTGGAACATGGAGGTGGTTTGGTGAGTAATTCAGAAAAGTCTGTGAAAGCAGAGACTAATTCTTATCATGTGCCGAACTTGATAGACACAAGTGATTCACATGACTATTTTGGAACACAAGATTCTACAGAGCAGCTAGATGACCAAAATGTGGCTAATGCAACCCAGTCCACCCCTCTAATTGATGATTTATTTGGAGATGGAATGGGTGCTGGAGTCAGCACCACTGAAGAGAAAAACAATGATGACCCTTTTGCAGGTGTGTCATTTCACACTGGTGAGGCCAAAGAAAATGTGGGTGACCTCTTTTCTGGTTTGACCCTTGATGACAAGTTGGCTGCAAATGGCAATCATGTTGCCACAAATAAAAATGCATCTGAGCTATTTGATATATTTGGGACCAGTACTGATGTTCCCTTGGATCATGAGAACCAGAGAAATGATGTTAATGATATAATGGCTGGCTTATCCAGTTACGAGAAGTCATCAAATACAAAGCAGAAAGGAACCTCTTTGGGGCCACTATCTGAAAATATATTTGCAGATATCAATATTCATGCTAGTAATCAGCCTTCCAATGATGCTTTAAGTGGCATGCTTGGTTCCCAAACAGCTGGAATGAATGCAAATCCTATGATTCCTTCAGGTGCTATGCCATATAATATTCCTGCTGGCATAATGTTGAACCCGGCATTTTCTTCTCAGCCTATAAACTATGCCACCATGGGGAATTTCATCACTCAACAGCAGTTCCTAGCAACAATGTCCAACTTCCAACACCTTGCAAACTTAAATGGACAAAATCCTGGTGTCAGTAATGTTAGCGGAACCAATGGAGGGTATTCATCACCCCTTCCTGATATTTTCCAGTTGAACTTCCCAAATCAAACTCCAACTTCAATGATGAACAGTTCAAAGAAAGAGGAAACAAGAGCATTTGACTTCATTTCGGTAAGTTTGATTTCTAGAACTTGTATTTAGTTGCTTCTTTATTATCTGTAACAGGGCAATGTCTGGAGTAGTTCTTACAATGGAAATTTATAAGGCTTCTAGTCTTTTACTTCATTATTTATCTCTCTCTGGAATAGTGTTTTTTTTTTTTTTTTCAGCCTTCAACTCTGTGGAATAGTTCTTTAAAATAGAAAATAACCTAGTGTCTATTTTAGCCATTGGAAAGAAGGGAAAATTTTAGAATTCCTAGACAAATTTTATTTTAATTGGTTTTTAGTGGGACTCTGGTAAATCTTAAGCTATTGACTGATAACTGGATTCATAAAATTGTCCTCAATTTAACCTTTAGTTTCTCTAGTCACATTTTGTCAAGATTCAAGAATTCTTTGTTCCCTCATTTCTGAGGAAATGTGGAGATTCTGATGGCTGACCTTGGGAGGATGGGGAGGCACCACCCTAATGATATAGATGATCATGTCAGTAGCTTGCGTATCAGGTCCCTAGAATCAAAACTCCACTAGTCCACTAGCACAAGCTGCTAAAACGATATTAGGAAGGTGACAAGAGTCTTGGAGAGAGAAATTTGGAGTGTGTGTGTATTATACATATTTTATGAGTCCTAAATCCTAATGATATTTGAAAATCATTTGTTCTAGTTTTGCTGGTGGCAGTAAACGATTGCTTTGTCCTTTTAGCTACTTTTATTAAGTTATAATGTTAATAACGTTTGTTTTGTCTATTTGTAGGATCACCTTGCTGCAGCTCGTGATCCAAAGAAACTTCTTTAAAGATTGGAGCCTACGATAAATGCCTTAGAATCTCCTGGCTTTTCGATGATGGTATTATTCTTTCACAACGTTAGAGCTGTGATATTGCATGAGTCTTTGACTATGGCTTTGCTTGTTACAGACATCCAAAAGTCGAAGAAAATAGATAGGTATCAAGCTGTTAGGCGGTTCGTTTTGTATTTGAGATGAAAGAAATTTGGGAATATGTTCGTGCAGTTAGCCATCTTAGTTTTCTGAACACTAGTGCATCTTTTTGTAATGGATTTGTAGAGCTTTGTTTTTCTTTTATCAGAGCAAAAATTCTCCTCGGCCTCTAGGAGACGTGCATGCTTTTTGCATTGGGATTGGGAAATCAATAAATAATATTAATTATTTACTGTCCAATTGGGCAGTGTACTAGACATTGTTCTAGCAAAAATTTCCATGGAAAAATGGATTGTCTGATTTCATCTCTAATTTGAAATTTTGTATGTGATTTGCAGAAGGCATTCCTTCCAGCTAGGAAAAAAACAATTCATATAATCAGCAGGGCACTTGGTGGGACCTTAACATAGTGTTTGGTTGGTGGGAAATGGAAGGAAAACAAGGGACATGAGGAACCCTCTCGCTTGGCTAAGCAGGAGAGTGAAGGAAATGAAGGGTTGGGCACTCCTGTTCCCTTTCCTCTAATTTGGAGGGTTGTAGGCAAAACATTATACGTGAATCATTTTCAAAAATAATAATAATAATAATAATTAGTATGAATGGATTATACTCCATCCAACAAATGTTAATGAGCAAGGTTCAAACACTTGCTACAAGTTTCCAAAAAAAATTGTGATACTCTAAGTGCATAAATTTTGTTATAATTTCTCAGGGCTTATTTTATGTTACACCATACATTCACTCCAGATGGATGGATTTTTTTTTTTTTTTTGATGAATCAAAAGTGTTATTAATAAGAAGAGTACAAGGGGTACTCACCCATCCAGATGGACGGATTTGCAATCCGCTTCCTGACTTCTCAACCTGTGCTTTACCAGGAAGCAGGAACATCTGATCTGAGCACTTTAAAATCCGTTTGTGGACCGCGATATGTACAAATTATAATTCCAATGCAGGCATGTATCCAACAGCAATTATTATACAAAGTTATCAGCAGCTAGGATGGCGTGGCTTACAATATTCTTGGGGTGGATCTTCGAGGTTACTCCGCGCTGCTACTTCCATCTTCTTTGTTCTGTTTAGTTGTTTCACAGCATCTAAACGCTCGGAAGAATATGGGGAAGGAATCTAGTAAACACGGTGAATGAAATGAGGATATACAGAAAGGAATAAGGAAAAAATGAGGGCATTGACCCTAGTCCAAAGGACAGCAGTAAAACTTACCAAAGAGGGTACGTATTTCTTGATTGCTGCTAGCATTGCTGCATGGCCTATGGCCGACACCTGCCATTAGAAACAGCAAAGATATTAACTACTTGGGCTAACAGAGCACTAATCACAAAGCATACAATATGTAAATTGAAAATTTCTGCACATACATATGGGTACATAAGCGTAAACATGATACAAGAATAACAAAAGGAAATTTTCCAAGATATCCAATAGTAAATGAGATGAATGAGGAAACTGATTTGCAACTACATCCAGAACTAGATCCAGAAGGCATCCGATATTTGTATCTCATTCATTTTCCCAGTTAAGGTTTCAACAAGTGACCCAAGGTGATGGAGTCAGTCATGAATGATACAAAAGAATTTAGTAATATGGTTTACTGCAAAGCTGTTTATTTTGTGAAAAGATCACACATAAAGTACTAGCTACTTATATTTATAGGTGATAAAAGAAGAAGGCACTAAAAGGAAACAGAGAAGTGCTTACAGGAAGGAGCATCAGAATTGTAATGGGGATAAGTGTAGCAATGTCATTTAGGGTTGTTTTTAATTTCTTTCGTTCTCTGGCTGTAATTTTGTTTCCATGCAACTGCTTTAAGAGTAACTCCAGAGAAAACATTACATCAATGAAGAGCAATTGAGTTCCCATCCATATATCCTGCAAAACAGTTCACCAACCAATCTACACTTGAGCATGAGATCTGGTGGAAGTCTTCCTATTTACAGGCAGTGGAACCGTAGGCCTTACAGAGCTTGTAGATATCAACTTGATGCTGTACTTCCTAATAACACTGCCAAATGGGAAAATTGATTTGGACATGTGTGTCCCTTCCACAAAGTTTATAGCATCTGTTGCATCCTACCATTAGAAGCAAATATTAGAATGGTTATGAGAAGAAATATATGCACTTAACCACACTTTCATGGATTATTTTCATAAATTTTGGAAGATATTCACCAATATAAATACATCCGACTACTACTAATTATGATGATTACATAGAACACATGCAATGTCACAAACTCACAATGTCATATTTTATTAGACAAAGTTTCATAATCAGGCGACATAAGCAGTGACCTCTATAACGGCTTTAAAAGAGAAGTTCAAATCCAAGAATTTTATGAGTGTAAGCTTCTAAGCGTGAAAGGATAAACTTATAACTTAGACAGCAAATATCAACACTAATTACAATAATTCTTCCACTGCAACCACCCTATCTGGTTTCCAAATGGAATGTTACTCTCTAGAATTGAGCCCGAAATCTAGGCCAGCTTCTCTTGGCCTCCAACTTGTCCTCTTAATCTCAATTTACTACCTTTAAAACCCCCTTGCCTTTCTTGCCTTTTTCTTTAAATTCTTCTATTGTCAGAGTCATGTTCTCTGACTTTGTTAGCCAATCAGACATCATAAAAAGCAATATCTTGAGCAACAAATTTCTGAATCCACTCCATTAGTATTACCCAAATAAATTGCATAAACTGCTTTTCTTCTACTTAACCTGTTTTAAACCCTAAAGTATCTCAAAGTTTTTAAATTGTAAACTAAAATTGCAATTTCCATCATGGGAACTCAAGTTGCAAGAAACCCACATAGCAACATCAGCAGGTTAGTTAATCCAATGTCTTATCAAGGAGCCTTACCTTTTTACACAGAGACCCAGTTGTAGATTTATTCTTGAGATTTTCTGGTATCATCAACTCGGCGGGCTTTACAGAAAACTGGATGGTGGCCTTGGCTCCAGTGGTTTGCCCAGGAGAAGCTAATTCTGCAATCTTTAGCAGATCACTGCTTAAAAGATCAAAATTAGAACAATCACTTGCTATTTTACTAAACCTTAATGTAATTAAGCTGGGAAAATATAGATAAAAGCCAACCCTGATCTATCATAAGCAGCCCAGTAATCTTCCAGACAAATGGTTAACAGGCTCTGGCTGAAAATTTAAGAGAATAGAATATTAAAAGCCAATTTACTGATCCTTCAAAACATAAAAACATTAAAATAAATAAAGCTTAATAATCAAATAGAAATGTTATTGGCTACCTCCGGAGCAAGAATGCTAGTAATTCAGAATCTAAGGGCTGTTGAGTTGAACGGCTGAAGTGAGCAAACCCAGAGAAGACATCATAGCAAACAGTAAAAACTGTAGATAAAATAATTTCTTTCTCAGCTTGAATTGTATGGTGTTTAGACCTTCTTTTTACTTGATCATACATGGAAGGATATACACCATAAAAATCAAACCATCCAATTTCATCAGTAACTACCTGAAAAGATCATTTTCATGTTATATTGTATTTAGATTTGATGGAAGTGCAAATTTGGATTCAGGAATCTAGTTAAAATTGTTGTGGGAAATTGGTAGTAAAGATGAAGATAAAATAGAAGCTTTTCTGGTAATTGAACCCTGCGAGGAATAAAGCAAAATTCTGAAGAAAGGAAAAGGAAAAAAAAAAATTAATTAAAAATAATAATAAAAAGACAAAGAGAGGCTCCAAGCAAATCCACATTCATATAAGACTAAAATTTTGAATTTCCAAAAATGGCATGACAAAACTAACCTCCATGAAGAACTGATAAACTGATATGGAAGAAAACTCAGGGTAAATGAAAAGGCTTCCACACTCCAAGTAGCTGCAGCCAAAGCATTTTACCTATTACTCAATCTTTCAAGGATGTTTCCTATTCTTCAGGCTCCACCAAATGAAACTAATTTACCTGAGAAAGTCCTTAACCAGTTCATCAAGATCATTTATGCGCAGTTTTGACAAAAATAATCTAGTCTTCCTTCCAAGATAAGCAAAAAGTCCTAGAGTAGCCAAACTATCTGCTTGGACCTGCCAGAGTTTCATTCAAAAACATGTTATGCCAGAATCAGGATAAATTTACACAATGCATGTAGCCATACTCAAAAAGACAAAAAACATGTCTCCAATACCAATTCATGAAGGGATGAAATCATCTGGAATTGGGAGTTGAAGAAAAGAAAAAGGAAGTTTCTTGACAAAATTGTGTCAAGTAACAGCATGTTCTCCAATGATGAATCATAAAACAAGTGTTTATCAAAATGGGACAGGAAAAATCAATCCTGCCTCAGTGGCTAATTGATGCAATTTATACACTGAAACAAGACCGTATGAAAGATCCATGCAATCTACAAGTGTGTCCTCAATTGACAACTTACAAAAGAAAAGGGACAGGAAGTATGGCAAGAACCCAATTCTACTATTGCATCACAACTTATAAAATCATTTTGGAATTGGGGATTGAATAAAAGAAATGGGAAGTTTCTTGAAAAAATTGTGTAAAGTAAGAACCTGTTCTGATGAATCATGAAGCAAACCTTTTTATGAAAAGCTTGTTTGCCAGGAATGACAGTTTCTTTCTGAAAAGCTAATGATAGCTTCTTCTGAGCCAACCCAATCCAAAATTCTAGCTCATCATTCTTCTTCCCAGACAAAACATTTGTACCAAAATGGGACAGGAAATCACGTTCGAATCCTGCCTCAGTGGCTAATTGATGCAATTTATCCACTGAAACAATGCTGTACGAAAGATCCATGAGCTCCACCAGTGTATCCTCAATTGATAACTTATAAAAGGGATAGGAAGTACGACCAGAACCCAATTTTGCTACTGCCGCACAACAGCTTATAGCCACAATGATTCCTGCAACACCACTGAATACTCTCACATTTAGAATAGAACAATAACAGCAAAATTATCAGCAGGTTTATTAAGAACATATCCCATTTGAGTGAACAAAACAAAGAACATATTTAACTTAGTCATGACAAGCACAAGTTATCAGTTGGGGAGGAAATCTATAATGATAAAGGCAGAGGATTATCATGATCAAACCTTCCTGCGTACTCCATAGACCACTTCTTTAACAATGGACTGAAAAATCCAGCTATGCATGGCAGTTCAACCATTCTGAACCATTGAATCAACTGTGGGTGTCTCGCATTTAATTGGCTTTCAATATAGTCCTCTAATAGGTTTATCTTTGGGGTCAAGCTGAAACAAAGTAGAAACAGCATAAGAAAAAGTAAGGGCTAGTAGATAACAATTATCAATTCATATAGCTATGAAGAAGAAATTACAAGGCCATAGAACGGAGGGCATGTTGGGAAGTTTTGTGGAGGTATCAAAATGAAACACAGAGAATGTAAACCATCCCTTTGTAATTTATACTGTGAAAGAGTTCTATCTTAAAGCCAAAATAAGAATAACTGGAGTAACTTACATGTCTCTTACTGGAGAAGGATTGTTGTAACGTTCCTGAGAGAGCAAAATCTCCACTTCAATTGCCATTTTCAACAATGCATAAACAGCTACCTGAGAAGTGATATTAGTAAATGCAATTAAAATAATGTCCCACCTCCACTCAATTATAATATCTCAACGACAGTTGTTCAAGAATAATTACAAGCAGAAATATGTGAATGTTGGTTCATATGTCATATCATTAAAATAACTGTAAACTGATTTGACAGCAGCAACAAGAGCACCAAAAATGAATGATTATAATTCTTTTACCATTCTTGAAATTCATAAAGCCTGCTGATTGATAGATTGAGTTTGTACAGTTTTACAATACCTGATAAGCAATACGTTTATGCCATTCATGCACATCTTTCCCATTCCAGGCCATTGCAACCTCTGTCTGGCTTCCTGCCAATCCAAGTGACTGAACAGCAAGGGAAAAGCTCCTTGCAGATTCATGTAGTACCCATACAAGACAATTCACACGATTAAATTCTTCCTCATGATCATCAGCCTCAACCAAAAGAGCACCATCACCACTCTCAGTTTCATCAAAAGGAGATGAAGACATGGATGATAATGCACCTGAAGACATACATCTTGAAGAAATGTATCGGCCAAACAAAATTTTAAAGGAAATACTTTTCTTTGACAGAAAACAACTTCCTTGTTCCCTTCCATTGAACTTAGAAGAGTCAGCAACTGCATTTGACTTAACCCTCCTTCTGTTATATGATTGCAAAGATTGTCTATGAGAAGCAAAGAGAAAACAATAACCAGTAAATAAAGAACTTTCCAACTTAAATTTAGAATGGAATAATCCATAAGCACAAACTTAAGCCTTTATATCGTTACACAAAATCAATGGCTTCTTTTGCCATATATAGTTTCCTCTGATCTCTTGAATTGCATAAAGTGTAAAAATTTTTAAGTTATGCTAATTAGCCCCCCAACCTAACCCCTTTCTTTGCCACAACCAATCTCCCTACCTAGAGCTAAGTAAATAACATGCCAAATGAAGCAGAAAAAAGACAGACCTTTAAGATTACCTATTACCATAATTAAAATGTATCATTAGAGTGCATTCAAGAGATCCAAACCAAACCAGCTTCAGAAAAGAAAACTATTCACGATCCAACAAAAAGAAAAACAATCGAATGAGTCCTTGCTAAGGATCATCAAAGAAAATCACTTGATTTGATGGGTACAAGATTTTGTTTATAAACTCATCTACCCACCAACAGAAAAATGCATAAGCAACCAAACTCATCTACCTACCATTCTATGTTGAAACAGAAATGAATCACATACAAAAACAATCGAATAGGAATGCAGATAAGTAGTGGAATAGTTGAAGGAATAGGAAAGCTTACGGGTAATGGGAAAGGTGGGGACGATGAAGGGACAGATGGGAAGCCATTGTAGGAGACAAGAAGGAAGAGAAGAAGCATTTTCTTCGTTTGTTGAGGGTTAAATGCTAGAAGCGTGGTGATCGAGGTAGAGAGAGAAAGAGTAGAATATTGAAGAGAGAAAGAGTAGACTTTGTA